GTGCCAAAACTATCAAACTTTGCCGAAATAGATGCGTTCATATTGTTGTCATGTCCGTTTGGAGTGATTCTTGACTCATCCGACTATTTCCGTCCTATCTTGTCAATGTTTGAAGCCGAAATGGCACTGAACCCGTCAAAATCGTGGAGCGGCTATGACAAGTGGAATGCGGACTTTACGACGTTTACAAATGGTACGATTTTGATCTTATTTTTGAATTTGATGGAATTTATTTGGTAGAGTAGTTATCTACTTGACATGAGATTTTGCCGTCGATATAGCAGTTGGCACTAGTTTCGGTTGCCTGTCGGTAAGGGAAAATAATGAATGTTTAAATCGCTGAGAACTACGACAAACTCAGATGGGCTTTACCGACAGGGTACACAATAAGAAAGAATAATAGTTTTTTCTTCTTCAGATTGATATCAGTTTGTTTTGAAGGTTGTAGTATTTTCTTCAAATCCTCGTAGTTTCGCTTTATAAACGCTATAAAACACCTTGCCGGAGATTCTTAAAGGATGTTACATTCAGTGCTCGAGAAAATAGCATGAATGCAGCTCATTGAATTAGCACTTTATGACATTTGCGAAAGATAGTTATCAGCACTGTGTATAGGCACTCTTATCACCTAAATCACTGTCAGTCGTCAGCAACCTTGAAGTAGAGATTCGGGAGATCTTTGTGCCACAGTAGAGTGCTTTACAAATGATTCGACTTTACATCATCCTTATGATTCTTTTGACATTTTTACACCTCAATTAAACAATTAGGACAAGCCAAATGGGATATAGACCTTTATAGACCGTTTCCATTAGACATCAACTCCTATATAGTATTGTCCGTGATAGCTAACGCTTCATCTGAGCACAGAACGATTTTCCAAATTCTATTCAAAACTTGGTCTTGGATCGTTGCAATCACTGCATCACTTGCGAAATATCTGTGATTTGCCTTATGGAAAGAACTTACTAATATACTACGCTAAAATATGAAATAGTTAAATTACAACAAGAAGCAGAAATGTGAAATTTTTTTTGCAGGACTTCGCGACCTAGT